AAAAAAAAAAAAAATATATTTTAAGAGATATAAACAGAAAAAGAAAAAAGAAAAAAATATACAAACAAAAAGAAAAAAGAAAAAATATATATAAACAGAAAAAGAAAAAAGAATGTAATTGTATAAACAGAAAAAGAAAAAAGAAAAAAAGTATATAAACAAAAAAAGAAAAAAGAAAAAAAATATATAAACAAAAAAAAAATAATTATATAAACAGAAAAAGAAAAAAGAAAATGATAATATAAACAGAAAAAGAAAAAATAAAAATACAAGCATTAATAAATAATTGTTTTTTATTTATATATAAATAAATAATAAATAAATAAATAAATAAATAAATAAATAAATAAATAAATAATTTATATATAAATAAAAATAAATAAATAAATATAAATAAAACATTTAAGGGGTTAATGAGTAGAGAAAGGAGCAGAATTTTAGGTGTATGTATTAGCTATATTTATAAATATAAATAAATAAATAAATAAATAAATATATAAATAATACATCTATAAATAGATAAAAATAAATGTAATTAAATAAAAATAAATAAATAAATATGTTTTTCTTTTTTAAGGGGTTGATGAGTAGAGAAAGGAGAAGAAATTTAGGTGTATGTACTATATATTAATAAATACATATATAGATAGATAGATAAAAAGATAAATATATAAATAATACATCTATAAATAGATAAAAATAAATATAATTAAACACAAATAAATAAATAAATATACTTCTCTGGTTTGAGGGGTTGATGAGTAGGAAAAGGAGCAGAATTCCAGTTGTAAGTATTATATATAAATAAATACACATATAGATAGACAAATAAAAATACATATAAATAATACATCTATAAATAGATAAAAAAGAGTAGAATAAAATAAAAATAAATAAATAAACATACTTCTCTGGTTTGAGGGGTTGATGAGTAGGAAAAGGAGCAGAATTCCAGTTGTAAGTATGAGCTAGATCATTGCCTGTACCTGAAGGTATAATAGCTGCAGCAATATAACTCATATCTATCCCCGTTTTATAAATAGATAAAATCATTCCGTTGAAGGCCCCATCTCCCCCTACAGCAACAACTCTTATTCTTTTGTCTGCTGCTGCTGCTGCTGCTGCTGCTGCTGGTGCTGCTGCTGGTGCTGCTGCTGCTGGTGGTGGTGGGGGTGGTGCTGCTGCTGCTGGTTTTGGTTCTGGTTCTGTTGCTGCTGCTGATGTTGCTGTGGTTTTTTCTTCTGCTGCTGCTGTTCTTTCATCTGCTGCTGCTGCTGCTGCTTCTCCTTCTGCTGCAGCAGCAGCAGCAGCAGCAGCAGCATTATTATTATTATTTATATTTTTATTTATATTTTTATATTCATCTAGGGTTTTGAGTGTATTGACAGTGTGTACTATATGCTGCAGCCCGTGCTGCATTGATTGTTCGTCTCTTTGTGAGAATATTTTAATAGAATTACAATTATAATTTATATCAATAAAAGGAAAAAAAGAAGAAAAAGAAAAAGAAAAAGAAGAAAGAGAAGAGGAGACAGAAGAGGAGACAGAAGGAGACAAAAACTTAGCTCCTAGTCTGCTGCCTGAAATAGGGTTTGCTATAAGAAAATAAAATTTTGTATTTTTACCACATATCCATTCTGCTGCTGCTGCTTCTGCTGCTTCTATACTCATACTTTCTCCTGCTGCTGCTGCTCCTGCTGCTGCTGCTGCTGCTGCTGGTGTTGCTGGTGTTGCTGGTGTTGCTGGGGGGGGAGGGGGGGCCCCAATAGGGAGAGAGGGGGGCCCCTCAGCAACTGAACCCTCATCGTCGATGCTAGCAGATATAGGGGATATAGGTGACCCTGCTGCAGAAGTATCAGGTGTTTCTGCTGCTGCTGTTGCTGCTGCTGCTGCTGCTGGTGCTGCTGCTGCTGCTGCTGCAGGGGGATGATGAAGACCCCCTGATGATAGATCTGTGGATTGAGTTGCGTTTGTGTTGGTGATGTTTTTTATAAAAATTAAAAAGCAAAGAAAAAAGAAAAAATATATACAGGCCCGCGGGGGAGCGGAGCGCTGCTGCGGGAGAGGCGTCATAGTGGGTGGAGCAGCATACCAGCAACTGAGGTGTATAGACACCTGAATTAAAATAAAATAACAATAAATACAAAAAAATAAAAAAAAAAGATAAATAAACAACAGAATATCCTGCTGCTGCTGTTGCTGCTGTTGCTGTTGCTGCTGCTGCTGCTGCTGCTGCTCCCGCTGCTGCCACAGCCGCTGCTGCAGCAGGATCGCTCGCCAGTAGCAGCAGAAACAGCAGCAACAAAAAAAGAAAAATAAATATATTTAATTTATTTTTTTGTTTTTATTTTATTTAAAACAAAGAAGATCAGAGCTTATCCCTCGCTATGCTGCAGGCCGAAAGAAAGGAGGCACAGGGGTACCGCTAAGCCTCAGTAAGGATCAGGGTTTAGGGTTTAGGGTTTAGGGTTTAGGGTTTAGGGTTTAGGGTTTAGGAGCTGCAGTAGAAACATATAAGATAAATAAAAAAAAGAAAAAATATTTAGTTTTTTATAAACGTAAATTTATTTAAAACAAATAAAAATATATCACCGCAGCTGCTAGCCCTAAACCCTAAACCCTAAACCCTAAACCCTAAACCCTAAACCCTAAACAACAGAGACTACAGTTGACATGTAGCT